GTCCTCTGGTCCTCCAAATGATGTACAATATAAAATGACCTCTGGTCCCCTTATTGTTGTACAATACAAAGTGACCTCTAGTCCCCCTACTGATGTACAATACATGTATAAGGTGAACTCTGGACTCCTTATTGATATTCAATATACATGTACCTGTATAAGGTGTCTTCTTGTCCCCTTGCTGATGTACAATATATGGTGACCTCTGGTCCCTCTACTGATGTACAATATAAAATGACCTCAAGTCCCCCTAATGATGTATAATACATCTATAAGGTGAACTCTGGTCCCCCTACTAATGTACAATATAAAGTGCCCTCTGATCCCCCTACTGATTTACAATATAAGGTGACCTCTAGTCCCCCTTCTGATGTTAAGTGCAAAATAAAGTAACCTCTGGTCCCCCTCCTGGTGTACGATATAAGGTATCTCTGGTCCCATTACTGATGTGGAGTATAAGGTGACCTCTGGTCTTCCTGCAGATGCACAGTATAAGGTGACCCCTGGTCCCCCTTCTGATGTACAATATAAGGTGACCTCTGGTCCCCCTACTAATGTGCAATATAAGGTGTCTTCTCTTCCCCCTACTGATGTACAATATAAGGTGACCTCTGGTCCCCCTACTGATGTACAATATAGGGTGTCCTCTGGTCCCCCTACTGATGTACAATATAAGGTGTCCTCTCTTCCCCCTACCGATGTACAATATAAGGTGACCTCTGGTCCCCCTACTAATGTACTATATAAGATGTCCTCTCTTCCCCCTACTTTTGTACGGTATAAGGTGACCTCTGGACCTCTTACTGATGTATAATATAAGGTGAAGTCTGGCCCCCTATTTAATTAAAATGAAAGGTGACTTATGATCGCTCTAATGATATGCAATATAACGATAGGGTTAGGTAAGGTACAGTATAATGTAAGGTTACCTCTGGTCCCTCTAATTACTTAGATGTTTCTGCTAATATATATATATATGAGAAAGTAGATCTGTGTAAATTAAATTATAAATATGATTATTTTGGAGTAAGACAAAAACAACTGTCTATCATATAAAATTCAATTAATATATAAGGTGACCTGAGGTCTCCGTATTGATATCGATGAAATTACTTTTGTGCCTTGAATGCCTGAAGAGTTCCTAAAATGTTTTATTACTACGCAAAATGACGAACTATTTGCGGGGGACCTCAGGGCCTAGTTCAGCGTACGTTTTATCCTTCTGCGGGTCGATTGCATAAGTTAAAAATTAATTTAAGTGTAACAGGCACATTTTGGGGTATATATCGTTACAATATATCAGGGTACTCAGTATCTTAAAGAAATATGTCTGAATACGGATATATTTTGTATGAAACAAGTTGTACATAGACAGCTTTTGAAATACAAATACATTTAAAAATTTCTAACTGGTTCTTTCTTGCAATGCGTGTAAGAATTGCAGAATAAAAAGGAACGGGCATTGTTATTGCAGCTGTTGTTTAAAGCATGAGAGAACAAAGATTTTAAAAAAAAATTGAAGAAAGAGCTCCTTCTTCTATATACATTTTAAATGTATTGTTTCTTTTTAAATATATACAATTTAAAAACATCATGCATTTTTAATGCACTAAAATTTAAAGAATACATTAAAATTATTTGTGTGCACTTAGAGTCTAAGATTATTGTATTTCAGTAATTGCAATGAGTTCTATTTCCTCGTAGTGATTTCGAGGTTCACTTTCATACATATTATTTCTTTTTAGGGATCTTATATATTTCACTCTATCAGACACTTGAATCGATATATACAGCACTAAAAGAATTAATACAAACATTGAGAAGACGCTGACACATATTAATAAGGGTTTGTCAAAGAAAGATGACTTTGCTTCAAAGTCTTGTTTAATTGCTTCTGATGATATCTCGTATGTACTGATAACTGAAATATTTGAAACAGTTTGAGATGGTCGCCCTGTAGAAAACTCTGTTAACGTTGACAATTGCGTTTTCTTTGTGTTCTGAAGATGCATTTCTGTTTACAAAAGAAAGAGGATTTTTTAAAAACATATGTTAGACTCCAAAGTGCGATGGTGACGCCAAAGTCCGATGGTCTCGCCAAACCCCGATGGCTCGGTGTCTTTGCGGACGCCAAAGTCCGATAGTCACGCCAAAGTCCGATGGCTCGTTTCCTATGAGACACGTTGCGCTAAAGTGCGATTGTCTGAAACGCCAAAGTACGATAGTGCGAAGGAACAGTTAACGTTTATGACGTCACACTAGTCCGACGTCATGACGTTGTTTTGCATTCAAAATTGATTGATTTATTATTTGTCTAGCATACAATTTTACTGACTTTGCTTATTGTTTTCGCCCACCAGAGCTATTAGGGGTTAGTTCTTGTACACCATTCGACTGATAAGGGTTAGTTCTTGAACACCAATTGTGTTTCTTCGAACACACCCGAGAAATGTTATGGTTAGTCCTGAATTGGGTTAGTCTTGCACCCATCAATAATATCTAGCTTATAGTTGTTACACATTTTTCGACTGATAAATGTTAGTCTTGCAACTATGTCCAAAAGATTTGGGTTAATTTTTGCATTGAATATTTATTTGTATTTGTTTTAAACAATCAGGCCTTGGCATGACACGGCATCGCATTTTTGTGCAGTACTACTATGACGTCATAAACGTTAATTGGCGTGTCAAACCATCGGGGTTTGGCACAAACCATCGGACTTTGGCGTGTCCATCGGACTTTGGAGTCCCATCGCACTTTGGAGTCCTACACACATATATATATATATATAATTATTTTCTATAACGTCTATGCATATACATGTGAATACTACTGCAATTATTATAATAATTTAAAATATACAAAGAATTAATTATTTCTATGTAGAAAAAAATATAATAAATCAACTTCTTGACTCTGACTGTATCATTTATATAGATTAACAAATAAAATAAAAATAGATTTAAAATTCTCATGTTATGACTTTTATTGAGCAGGCTCTCGGGTAATACCTTTCGTTGTCGTAGATATCCAACATCCAAAAAATTGGCTGCATTGTAACTTAGTACATTTACATTCGCGACTGCAGTTTAGTCCATAATTAGGATACATGCATTCTGAATATTAGAGACCAGGTAATAAACAGCATCCCAAAGGATGAAAGAATAAAACTACTAATATCAACTCACAAAACAAAGATCATAGAAACCGATCTCAAGTATTTTAAATAAAATTGTTCAAGACAAGGAAAGAACAAAATAAAAATTTTTAATTTACATCCTTAAATTAATTTATGTAAAACATCTGATACGGCAGATCCATGTTAACAATTAAGTTTCTAAATCGCGAAAATTCTTATCCGTGAGATTAAAGCAATTCGCAAAGATTTCTCTGTAAATTGATATGATTTATAGGCTCGGCCGTCGGATGCTATGACATGCGCGCGGGATCTCAAGACTTTCACCATTCCCTCACGGACCCTTGTCAGTAAACGCGCAAACAAAAATTCTGCTGTAATTTTAATTGCCCTCCGTCCCACCCCAACACCATCTGTAATTACTGCCATGTTAGCATAGTTATCTTTGAATGGTTTTGCATGATACATGTTATTTTAGAATAAGTTGTTCACTTTTATGTTTATTTTGTTAAAATATGTAACACTTTGTAAGATTGTGGTGTCTGCAAATTTTCATACCCAACCTTTGATATCTATTGAAACAAAATTGATTATATCTTTCAGTTGTTCAATTTTTCTGATACTGCATTACATGTATATGTTTATATGCATGGCATTCTATGTTTTTTTCATATAGTCATTTATAATGTAAATAAATGGCATTTTTTCAATTCACAGAATCTTAGTATCAAAGAGAGTTAAACTATTGTCAGTTGATTGACATAAATACTTTTCCATGAGTTTATCTTTTGGACAAACATGCGTAGGGATTTCAGCGAACTCGTTTAAATTTGATTTTCGTATTTAATGGCCGTTCATTTAATGATCTTTAAAAAAAAAAATTACCAGCATAATCATTGGGGTTGTATTTGGCTTGTTTTCCATACTAGTTAGCCGCGTGGGGATTCGGGTTAGAATAGGTCCTCAGTACCCCCTTGCTTGTCGTAAAAGGCGACTAAATAGGGCGGTCCTTCGGATGAGACCGTATAAACAGAGGCCCCGTGTCACAGCAGGTGTGGCACGATAAAGATCCCTCCCTGCTCAAAGGCTGTAAGTGCCGAGTAAAGGCCTATTTTTGCAGCCCTTCACCGGCAATGGTGACGTCTCCATATCAGTGAAATATTCTGGAGAGGGTATACAGTATACAATCAATCAACCATACTAATTGTTAGCCCAATATTTAAACACCGAATTTACAACGGATTTTCCAGTTATTTCCCAATCATGATATCACACAGCGGATGTGACAAGTCGGCAAGGGATGTTTACTCCCCCATGGCACCGATCCCATTTCTGATGTTTTGGAGGTTTGTGTTTGCTCTCCTCCTATTTTGATTGTGTTATGGAATTTGATCTGGAATACTGATCGTTATCTCAATATGTTTCATCATACCAACTGTAAAGATCTATGTTTTTATGCTCAGTTTGATTACGGAAAGTTCTTTCTATCTAATCAGTACAAGGGCTCATGGTGGGCGTGACCGATAAACAGGGGATGTTTACTTCTCCTAAACACCAAATCCCACCCTTGTAACTTTCCAAGGGTCCGTCTTTTGTGCCATCTACGCATATTTGCATTGTTTATAGATTACAAAAACACAGCCATTTTTTATTATATTCTCCATTTATATGATGAATATTCCATTTTGCTCTAAAATTGGGGGGAAAAAATGTGTTACTCAAAAAAATAATTATAAAAAAGATCAGCACTAACAGAGAAAAAATACATACCAATGCAGGATTTTGCTTTGTTGTCATACATATAACCTCTACAACACACCAATCTGTTACTTTAATGTTGAAAATATAATAATATATATCATAAACAATTTTAGAAAATGATGTAATAAAATATAATAATAAATATTAAACATATTTTGAGTCAATATATTTTGGAATAAGTATAACCCACAACTCCTCTGTTATTTCATGGTATAAAATATATGATTTTTATACATGTAGGAACTTTAAGAATGTAAAACGTTATAAACATGCATCTATCTGTGATATGGACAATTTAACAATGCTAGACATACCCGTCACATCTTCCTTTTTCTTCTAATGTGACATGCGATACCAAAAAAAAATAAATAATCCTAAAGTAAAAAGCATTGTTCCATTTCAAACAAATATATATAAAAAAAAAATGGAAAAATAACTATGAATAAGTTGTAATACGTCAATTTCCTTCCTTTTTCCTGCTAAACGAACCGAATTCAAACTGTAAAATTAAGCTCTCAATATAACACTGAATTAATGTAATCTTTTCCTTTTTTTTCTACCTAACAAAGTTTGTAAAGTCGTCCTCCATCACATCAACGCTGTTATCAACGCCTTAGGTACATTTATGCGTGTTAAGTAACATATCATGAGAATAAAATAAAGACCCCCCCCCCCCCCCCCGTTTAAAAAAAAAGTAATGAAAATTAAAAGACCAAAATCCGTATTTTTCGCAAGAGATAGAGAAATAAATTAAAACGATAAGGATATACTATAACACATGTAACGGAATATGAAGGTATTGGTGCTTTCCGCTTAATTAAGTATTTTCTTTTTACAGGATACGTATCTGAAAAAAAAATTGGGGAAAATAATTAATACAAGACTTTGATTTAGGATTATGTCCTTTGAAACAGGATGTAAGGAAAGACGAAAATAAATAACATATTGGATCATGCATGTCAGTTGATGTCGTTTTTGGTTTAAAACTGTAAAAAAAAAAAATCAGGAAAATTCGGGGTATAAGAGAATGGCATGTTTTGTCTCGTTCCTGCATTGAATGCTGCAAGTCTTTAAACCCTGCATATTGTACAATGTAACCACTCTATTTAATTTCACATATGAATAATTAGTAGACCGACAAAAAAGGTTTTTAGATAGTAATTTGAATACAAACCTTAATCACAATTAATAATACTGTGTAACTGATACTTTTGATTAAAAGCTTTAAAATGCATCTTAATTCAGATCCTGCGCTATGGTATTTAATTGCCTTTGATAACAGAGGTTGTGATATTTGAAGTACCTTCTCTGCACATATTGTCGTCCATCAGTACATATTGTCGCCAGCTGAAAACTTGCATACAGTACCGACCAGACCCAACCTGACACAAAGCAGTCCCACAGCAGTCCCGGGGACTGCTTTCTGGGACTGCTAAAGCAGTCCCAGAGCAGTCCCAGAGCAGTCCCACAGCGGTCCCAGAGCAGTCCCACAGCAGTCCCAGAGCGGTCCCAGCAGTCCCAGCGGTCCCAGAGAGCAGCCTCAGCAGTCCCAGAAAGCAGTCCCAGCGGGCGGGGTTTATACTGTATGCACATATTGTCGCTGGTGACATAATATGCCTTCTCTCACTGTATATTCTGTCGCTCCACAGTCTAAGTGGCTCAAGACTTTGTTTTTCTAAAAATGTAAATGATGCATGCATAAATCACATATTAAGCATATCTCGTAGACCATTCTCGCAGTAATAGTGCAATTAATTGAGACAGTACACATTGTTGTCTCATACATATCGTCGAAGGCGAAGTTGTGTACCTACCATAACTGCACATATTTTCATCCGTCGGATCCGCATATATTCACACAAGTGCTCTAATAATCTTTTATACCACTGTTTAATTAATCCATGGCAAAACAGTACCATCGAGGTGTGTGCACCTCGAACAGTTATTGGCTATGGTGAGTACTACTCATTTTTATGCAGAATATTTACTGATTAAAAGGCATTCCTTAATATTATGTATAACTTTGATACACTGTATTAATTTAATAACTTTAATGTCCAAGCATTAGCTGTTTAAAAATGGATATTTTTTAATAAAGATATAAACAGATAATACAGATATATACATTTAACAATATTTTACAAATAAATAAACCGTTGTTGTTCTCGTTATACAAGAATTCAGCCTACAAAACAAATACCCCGGTACAGACAATCCGTCTATGACTTTATATGTATTCGAATAACGCAAACCCGTATACTAGTATTTATCGATAGCCAGGAAAAAAAAAACACATTATGGCGGTATCATAATTCAATACAAAATAGATTAACATTTATATGATTTATAAGTTTTCATATACGTTTATTTATATTATTTGCTAAATTCTGATAATTAAAATTGTTTTATTCTATTACTCTCAGCATTAGCAACACACGTAGCAAAGGGAAGTACAACCGGTTCGGTAATATCAGTTGCATGTTATTTTTATTGAAAAGTCAGGTGTGGGTTTGATAGAATGGGAATTAACTTCATTTATTCAAAAGTCTGCGTCTGATACCTATGTTAATGTTAATTGAGAATACAACAACGACGGACGAAAACTGATAGCGGATGAAGTAATAGCGAGACTTTAAATGACTTTCTGACTGATTATCATGCAAATGCCAAAGTTTAAGTAATAAGTTTATAATTCACTTATTACGGACCTTTGTACATATTTATATAATTTTTCTATGTTGCATATCATTATGTTGTCTTATATCATGATTTATTGTCATGTATTGTTTGGGAACACAAATGCAAATGAGTCCCTTCCCATTCAGATTTGTATAGTAGACCTTCTGATGTTTTTGTTAGTATTTTTTCTGTTTGTATGTAAATTTCTTTTTATTTGTTTTCAATGTTTTGCTTTAGATATAACCTCGTGTTTATATATCTACAACTGCCAACATATTTGTTACAAAAACTCAAACTCAACTCCTAGTCTTTATACATACATGTACTGTGTACATTTTTTACAAAATTTTCCATTTTGCGGCGAATTAAATGTCTTTAGATCCGACATTATAGACAATGGGTAATAGTATAGAGCAATATCGAGCCGCAATTGGAACTTTTTACTTTGTGTGTAGGTATGTAACTTACTCGTCAATGTTTATTTTTCTTTCACTGCGTGATATTTTTATCTTTTTCCAACATGTGACTCGGAAAATTCTGTTGAAAAGTTTGTATTTTGGTAAAAATCTGTCAGTACACATATCCCTTTTCATGCAATTTTTTGCTTTTATTTTGTTATTAATATCTGGTGATATAGAAACAAACCCAGGACCTACTTATGAAAGTGTCCTTGACATTTTACACTTAAATATCAGAAGTCTCAGAAACAAAATTGATCCACTTAAAGCCATATTAAATGATTTTGATATTGTGTGCTTTACTGAAACGCATCTCGATGACAAAATTTTGAATAGTGATATTTATTTAGAAGGTTTTAATTGTATTTTTCGCAAAGATCGAAATTCATTCGGAGGCGGAGTCATTATTTACACAAGTAACAACATTCGAGCTCACAGACGAATGGATCTCGAACCTATCAATATTGAAGCTGTCGTGTTAGAAATTGATAACCCTACCTCTCAACTCTTTTTATGTTGCGTATATCGTCCTCCGCACGCAGATTCCACTTTTGGAGAAACTTTTCATGGTCTTTAGATAAAATAAGTGAACTTTCCGACAAAATAATAATTGTTGGTGATATAAATGTTGATCTCTTAAGCACTCCTCACACACATATTATATATGAAATAATATCCAATTGTAGTCTGATCAACAGAATCAGCGAGCCAACGAGAATCACGCATTCCTCTCGAACACTTATTGACCCAATTTTTACAACACAAAGCATTGACGTTACAGAGTCAGGAACTTTAAATGTAAGCACGAATCTTAGCGACCACAGAGCAACTTATGTGTGTCTCACCATGAACTACAAAATTAATCATGCGTATAAGCGAAATGTATGGCTGTATAAAGAAGCAGATTTTGAAAAACTCAATTCCTTAATTCAAGATTGCGATTGGGACAGCTTAATAAATAACGTCCAAGATGTTGACACTGCTACGGAAAACTTTACTGCTCATTTCCTATCGTCTGTACGAAAATGTGTTCAAGAAAAGTCGGTCACAATTCGTCCGAAAGATAAACCTTGGTTTGACTCAGTACTCAGGAAAAATATTAGAATACGCAACAGATTACATAAAATAGCAAGAAAAACAAATAAAGAATCGGATAAGGCTGAATATCGAAAAATCAGAAATCAAGTCAATAACATGAAAAAATATGCGCTATCGAATTATTATGACAACATGGACCTTCAGCTATCTGAAGCGAGCGTGAATAATACTAAATTATACTGGAAAATGCTAAGAGATGCTTTTCATGTAAAACCAAACAAAGATATTCCACCCATACAATACATCTCTGATAGTGGAGAAGAAAATATAGCTTTCTCAGATGATGATAAAGTCGATGTGTTAAACAAGTATTTTTCTTCTATATCCAATGTTGATGACTCTAACAAACAATTACCACCACAGTATTACCTATGCAATGACACACTAAGTGATATAGTAATTACTGAGCAAGAAATTGTTGATATAATATCAATACTCCCTGTCAATAAAGCAATAGGTCCTGATGCAATAAGCCACAAGATGTTAAAATCTACTATTAATTCTGTGTCTAAACCGCTAAGCTGGTTATTTAATAAGTCGCTGGCAGAAAATATATTTCCAGATAAATGGAAAATCGCTCATGTACTACCGTTGTTTAAAAAAGATGATCCTTCAATAGCTACTAATTATAGACCGGTATCATTGTTGAGCTGTGTTAGCAAAATTATGGAACGAATTGTTTTTAAACATGTGTACAATTACTTTCATCAGAATAATTTATTCTACAAATTTCAAGCAGGCTTTTTGCCAGGTCACTCAACCGTTTACCAACTACTTGAAACTGATCACACTAAAAGAATATCGACGAAGGAAAATTTTGTTGCATGGTATTTTGTGATCTATCTAAAGCTTTCGACAGAGTATGGCATAAGGGTTTACTTTTTAAATTAAAAACTTATGGATTATGTGGAAATATTCTTACCTGGATAGAGAGTTACCTATGTAATAGAAGACAGAAAGTTATGTACAAAGATATTTTTTCGTCTAACAGAAACATTAACGCTGGTGTACCACAAGGATCTGTTCTTGGTCCTTTACTTTTTTTGATTTATGTGAATGATGTATCAGAAAACATGATTTCATTGTGTAGATTGTTTGCAGATGACAACTCGTTGCAAAGTTCCTCTTATAATGTTGCAACTATTGAATATACTTT